GGCTGGAGTGCAATGGCGCGATCTCGGCTCACTGCAACCTCCGCCTCCTGGGTTCAGGCAATTCTCCTGCCTCAGCCTCCTGAGTAGCTGGGATTACAGGCACGTGCCACCATGCCCAGCTAGCTTTTTTTGTATTTTTAGTAGAGACGGGGTTTCACCATGTTGACCAGGATGGTCTCAATCACTTGACCTCGTGATCCACCCGCCTCGGCCTCCCAAAGTGCTGGGATTACAGGCTTGAGCCACCGCGCCCGGCTATATGTCACATTTTTACTTTTCCAACCTCCTGAATGTGCAGCCAGTTGTTATGACAACTTACCCAGTTTTGCCAGTCATCCCTCAATGTCATGTTGCAGTTCCATGAGAAGCTGGGTAGGTCTTGAAGTATTACCCTTATATTAAAAACAGTCATTATCCATCCATGTCTCCATCCACCCATCCATTCAATATTCCTTAAGAGTCCGTATATCAGATGCTATGCTATATGCTGAATATGTCTTAGGCCAAAGAAATGTGTCCCTAGTTTTTAAAATCAGGACATTGTGGAGTTAGTGGAAGAGGCATTGGCGGGTTGGGGTGTTAGGGTAGGGACAAAGAAGAGAAAGAAGGGAAAGGAAGGAACTTCCTATGAAGTCATTCCCCTGGGCACATGAGTATGATGGGGGAAGGCAGGGGAAGATATTGAGATTCTTACACACCCAAATAGGAATGATAAGGCAAAACCAGTAGAATTTTTGCCTGGCATGAAATACTGCCTGTTTGTGGTACCTTATAATTTTCAGTTCCCTTCTCCAGAAGCTGATACCTTCCTATATCTCTGATGTTCTCATGTACTCTTTTTCAAGCCACTTTTAGAAATTGGCCAGCATATGGATGTGGTGATGCAGCATGTGGATGTGCTAGTCCCAGCTACTTGGGAGGCTGAGGCAGGAGGATCACCTGAGCCTGGGAGCTTGAGGCTGCAGTGAGCTATGATTGAGTCACTGCACTGCAGCCTGGCATGATTATGGCTCACGGCAAGCTAGGTTAGTGGTAGATAAAGGCTCTCTCAGGCTGCCAAAAAAAAAAAAATCAAGTTTTTGATTCTAATCAGGTCCTGAGAGTGAGACCCTGTCTCAAAAAAAAAAAAAAAAAATTGGCCAGCGTAGGTGTTAACCTTTGCATTTTGTGTTCTCTGTGTTGGTAGCACCCCCACTTATCTTAATAGCCTATCAGAATGGTGACAGTAGATTTAAGTTATGCTTTTTAAAAGAGCCAACTGATTTACTGGGCTTAAGAAGGGGTTTATTTCATTTTTTCCCTCTGTTTTGCATGTGTGTGTATTAGTCTGTTCTTACACTGCTATGAAGAAATACCCAAGACTGGGTAACTTATGAAAAAAAGAGGTTTAAGGCCGGGTGCGGTGGCTCAAGCCTGTAATCCCAGCACTTTGGGAGGCCGAGGCGGGTGGATCACGAGGTCAAGAGATCGAGACCATCCTGGTCAACATGGTGAAACCCCATCTCTACTAAAAATACAAAAAATTAGCTGGGCATGGTGGTGCGTGCCTGTAATCCCAGCTACTCAGGAGGCTGAGGCAGGAGAATTGCCTGAACTCAGGAGGTGGAGGTTGCAGTGAGCCGAGATCGCGCCATTGCACTCCAGCCTGGGTAACATGAGTGAAACTCCGTCTCAAAAAAAAAAAAAAAAA